GAAAGAGGGAGAGAGAGGGAACGAGTGAGAATGGGGTAGATGGAACCCAAGCCCACAGACCCAAGGGCAGATGGAAAAGGAAATATCAGGGCATGAGGGTGTGAGGGCCAGAGGGACACAGAAAGGGAGGAAGTGGACAAGGACAGAATCAGGGACGGGGGTGGAGGGGCAGAGGGAGGGGGGGTTAGAGACCCAAGAGACAAACCCCCCAGAGAGAGGAACAAAGACCCGCCCGATATGAAAAAAGAAAAAAAGAGGAAGATGGAAACCCAGACGGAGAGGAAGTGGACAAGGTGGGGGGGGAGGGATCCCAGGCAGGGGAGGGTGAGAATGGGAGAGGCAGAGCGGGTAGGGGGTAGGGAGAGGAAAAGAGAGAGAAAGATTAAAGGCCCCCCCCAAAAAGGGGTGCGATAGAGATCCAGAGAGAGGAGGAGAACCAGGAGGGAGGGCAGAGACCCCAAGAACACAAGCCACGGAGGAGAGGGGGCAGGGGACAGAGACCCGGGGACAAACCCTCAGAGGGGGGCACGTGGACCCGATAGGAAGACAGAGACTCAGAAAGAGCGGAGGAGGGAAGTCAGAGAGAGATGCCCGAGACCCAGAGTGTGTGTGAGTGGGGGGAAGAAGGAGAGAGAGAGAGAGAGAGAGAGAACAGAGATGGAAAGGGTAGATGGAGACACCGAAGGACACAGGAAAGGGAGTGACACAGAAGCCCCATTGTGTGCAGATGGAGGCAGAGGGTGAGACAGAAACCCAGAGAGAGAGAGAGAGAGAGAGAGAGAGAGAGAGAGAGAGAGAGAGAGAGACAGTCAGGGAGGCAGGGAGGCAGGAGGCAGAGCAGAGGCGTGCAGACACCTGTGGAAAGCTGCTCTAGGCTACACGCTCGCTCCCGCATTAACTCAGGAAGAGGGGACGAGGCCCAAGATCTCACGGGAGGACACCTCGTGACTGAGGCTCACCTGGGCCGCCTGGCTGTGGAGAGGCCGGCCCTGCCTCCGGCTGGGGAGTGGGGGCGGCAGAGGCGGGTGGGACAGGGGCCATGCTTGAACGGGGGGGAGAAGGGGGCAGTGGGCAGTCAATTATTGTCCTAACAAACCGCCGTGTTATATATAGAAATGGTTTCCAGCAGGTGGAAACAGGGTTGAGGGGTGGGAGCCCCTTTCTAATCGCTATGCACAGCAGCTGCGTGGGCAGCCCCCGAGGGCGGCCGCGGGGCGCCTGGCGTGCGAGTGGGGACCATCTGGGAGTCGGGGCTCTCACCCCCTTGCAGATGGCCACGGCTTCCCGGGAGAGCGACTTGGGGTAGGTGACGGTTTGTTCCATGATGGCCTGGAACAGCTCCTCCTCGTCCTCGCCGTCAAAGGGGGGCTGAGGAGGGAAGCAGAGGGGGTAGCAGGTCAGAGACGGACGGATGGATGGACAGACGGACGATGTCTCCCCGGCCTCCATGCTTTCATCCCCCACCAGGAACACAATCCCTCCCCTCCCCTCCTCACTTTCTAGGGGAAAATGTGAGCAAACCACCAAAGCTCTATCTCCCCCCGTTCTTCCCCCAATGCTTCGGTTTCCTATCTCAGATGCTCTCGGCACCTCTTTGGGGCTCTATCTCCCCGTATCTGCTGTGTGAACCAGCAGGGTGTTGGTGAGGCAATGTCATTTAAACGGAAGCCAGAGAAAGCCGCAGGACGAGCTGTGCCAGCATTCTGGTTGGGTGAGAGGTCTCCGGTCTTCTGGGGATAGGAAGGGCCACATGAATGCAAGGATTTTTAACGTGGGGCCTAGAGAGTGTGTATGCAGTTGAGGGGACCTGTAAACTTGCAGGGGGGGGGGATGCATCTTTATTTATTTTTTAATGTCTAACTGGAATGTAGCACTCCATTCAATTATGCATGTGGGCAACACAGCAATCCTCGTGGCTTTATCACCAAGAGAAATCACAGATATATATAGTTGGGTGTTGTTGGTTTTTTTTATCACATTAGAGTTGCAGATATCTCAAAATATCGGTTACCTCTATCTCAAAATGACTGGCAGGCCTTCCTATGTACTTCCTGTTCCTGCAAGATATTACTGCTGAGCCCTGGTCCAGTGGTCAGAATGTAGGCCCATCAATGGAAGGGCCATGGATTCCATTCTAGGTCAAGGGCATGTACCTTGGTTGCAGGGCATATGCAGGAGGCAACCCATCGATGTGTCTCTCTCACAATCCCCGGTGTGGGAGGCAATCAATCAATGCTTCTCTCTGTCGTCCCCTCCTCCCTCCCTTCCACTCTCTCTAAAAATCAATGGGAAAAAAAATACCCTTGGGTGAGGATTTTTTTAAAAAAAATATGTATTACGCCCTGACCAGTTTGGCTCAGTGGCTAGAAGAGCATCTGCCTGCGACTCAAGGGTCCCGGCCTCAATTCTGGTCAAGGGCATGTACCTCGGTTGCGGGCACATGCCCCGTGGGGGGTGTGCC